CATTTCTCCTCATAGAGTCGAGCCTCCCAGATAATCTGTTCTGCGTATAGGTTGAAAAGGTTTTTAAAAAGATGAAATATGTTGCCCATTTGTATAGTGTGCATGGTATTGAGCAATAGCATAGAGGAAGCTGGTCCTGTGTCCCTCCAGGAACTGTAATCCAGAACTTCAAACTGTTTAAACCAATTCAGTCTTGGGGCATAAAGTGAAATTCAAACATCTTCTTGTCTTAATTTGGATAAGATAAAATGATAAACAGAACTGATAAAACAGTGGTTACAGGTCAAAGCTCTGAAAAGAGAAACTTGGAAGAGGCCTAGCCTCTCTTTTGAGAGCCTGATGTGAGAGATTAGATTATTTGAAGGACCGTAGAGAGTTTCATATCTTCAAAACAACACTGTATGCCGCCATCTTGGAATGGGGCAAAATGGTTTTCATGTCTGGTAGTCAAAAGATTTGGTCGCTGTGCAAAGGGCATGCTGCCCTTACTTTCTGAGAAGAAAGTAGCATTTCTAGAATGAGTAGTTTGTCCTGTTCCTGTGGCTTTTCTAAGTCATCCACATTTTACAAATTGTAATCTGTTCCAGCTTCACTTTGTTGACTATGATCGAACCAGAAATGTATGGCTCAAAACTGTAATGGATTTTAAACTTGTCACCACATGTGTTTCAAGAAATTTGGGAGAGAAACATTTAGTGTAATAACACTGTTGTTAAGGAGAAGATTGAGGCAAAAAGAAAACAAACAACAATAATGAGAGAGAGAAAAGCTTCTCAGAGAGGAATTGAATATACCTTGCTTAGAAAAGTCTATTTTTGCGAAAAAGTGTTCTTGTATTTTTAAAATCATATTTTCTCACAGATATGATGGTACTTTGACTACCTTGGAGGTGACCAAAACAATCCTGTTCATTTATGTGTGTATTTTAAAATATTTATTCTTTCATTTGAGTTTCTTTGTTCTTTTATGTTGTCCATCCACTAACTTTCTGACCTATTTTCTTAATAAATAGGTCGTCATGGAGATGGTGGCTATTGGCCAGTAGATACTAATTTGATTGATAGAAGCACTCTCAATGGTAAGTCTGTAATTTAAAACTATTGGATTTGTTGTATTAATTAAACGGTTAATTACAAAATGTCTGAAACAAATTTTCTATTTACTGCAAGTGCCAAGAGTTCTTGAATGAAGATCTTAGTATGGAGAGAGAAACATGAAGCTATAAGCCAACTCTTCCCCACAGACTTTACCAGTGAGAGCTGGTGGATGTTGACGAATGCTTGCAATGCAGTCAGACGAGCCCAAAGATGTGCCAGTTTATAATGAAGATAGGCTTATTAAATATGTAGATTTTTAACTGTAATCATGTATTTTAAAAGGTATTAATTTAAATTGTGGGGCATGTTTCTAGGAGGGGCTATTTCTTGGAAACGTACATCATGATTGGAAAGGTGGAGGATTAAGTAAAAAATAGAAAGATCCTCAAGGAGGTGGATTCACACCGTGGGCTACAGTGTGTCAGAGATGACGAGGATGGCCCAGGCAAGGAAAGGGTTCAATTCTCTTGTTCATATGGTCGCTATGAGTCATACTTGTTTCAACAGTACCTAATAAAGATAACAACAATTTGAATGTATTAATGCAGGTGAGTGTTAAGGCAGTTCACACGGAGATATGTTTGATAAATTTAAATTGCTCTATCCTTTTAGTCTGGAGAGTGTGACTACTTTTCCAAAATCTTGTACATTATTGCTAATTTCCCTTCACATTATCACAACTAGATGTATTTTTTTTGTTAGATCTCATGAAGCACATCCATGCATTGGCTTTGAAGATGACCTGCTGGATGTAATATCTATAATTGTATGGAAGAAGCAAGTTGCTATAGGTGGTACAATCTAGGATCTTTATTTGAATTTTCCTAGAACAGAAACTTTAGGATGCATTAATACTAGTCAACTTCTAAAGAACTCGTGTGTGTGTGTGTGTGTGTGAGAGAGAGAGAGAGGGGTAGGTGCGTGTTGTTATTGTATACGAGTCAGAACTGACCCACAGCGGACCCTTCAGCATGTTTTCAGAGGAAGTCAGTTGAGTAGGAGAATGCCCATGTTTCTCTCGTGAAGCAGCTGGTGGAGTGGATTCAAACCACGTGCCTCTTGCTACACACTTGACTTTGATATTCCTTATATAGATGAGCAACAGTGTCTCTCTGGACACTAAGGTCCGCCTGATACAGGCCATGGTTTTTGCAATCACTTGTTATGCATCAGAGAGTTGGACAATGACTAGGGAGGATAGAAGGAGAATTGACGCCTTTGAGCTGTGGTGCTGGAGAAGAGTATTGAATGTACCATGGACTGCCAAGAAAACAAACAGATTCATCGTAGAGAGGATTAAACCAGGCGGCTCCTTGGAGGCAAGGATTCTGGGGCTTCGTCTGACATACTTTGGACATGTTGTAAGGAGAGACAGGTCTTTAGAGAGGGACATCATGCTGGGTAGAGTGGAGGGACAGTGCGGGAGGGGAAGACCCTCTATGAGGTGGATTGGTTCAGTGACTGGGGTACTTGGGATGGGTGTGTCAGAGGCAATGAGACTGGCACAGGATAGAGCAAGGTTTAGGGCTGTTGTACACAGGGTCGCTATGAGTCGCAAATGACTCGACGGCACATAACAACAAACAACAACAACAGCAAATCTCACTTTGAGAGTTACATGACTCAATACACACACAGCAGAAAATTATTAAGCACTCTCAAGGATAACATGAAAAGATGAGAGATTTTGTTGAGGCTGAGAGCAAACTGAGGCCATTTTCCAGAGGAATGAGCTTGGCATTCATGAGTTTGACATAAACTTAACATAAATTGGTATTTCTAGCGCAGATTTCATCAACTCGTTCTCTCCCATAAAGTCATTTCTTCAGTCTCAACAATATGGCACACATACTTTGTGTATTCAACGGGTTAGTTAAGAACTGATGCTCAGCTCTCACTATGTCCAGGGCACTTGCTATGAGATTGGAGCACAAAACAGAATACCTTGAAATAATAAAACAATTGGGCAAATTACCCCTGTGGACCCAGTAGAGACATTTGCTTAAGGAGGAGGGGAAAAGTTAGGAAAATGGGGGAAATGCCAGAGACGTGTCAAGAAGTGGGAGAAATTGTGAGAAGAAAACAAATGGATTTGTTTTACCATGAAATAGAATAGATGGAAAGCATGCAAAGTGGCACAAATGGTTGAATACTTAGCTGCTAATCTAAGTTGTAGAGGTTCAAGTTCACACAAAGGCATCTGGGAAGAATGACCTGGGAATCCACATCTGAAGGATCAGCATTTGAAACCCAACCAAAGCGTATTCTGCTCTGACTGCCATGGAGTTGCCAAAGTCTAAAACAGATTTGACAGCTTCAGATCTGGTGTTTCTGGCTTTTAAAGAGGTTCGAGATTTGTAAGCCCTTTTGGTGCATCAATTAAAGTACTTAGCTTCTTATCCTAAGGTTAGTAGTTCTGTCCTACCAGCTTCCCTTCAAGGGAACTCTGTTGGCTTCTTCTTGTTGTTGTTGTGTATCACAGAGTTGGAACTGACTCCTAGCTGACCCCCTGGCAGGTTTCAGAGGCAGTTAACAGAAAAGAAGGCGATTGCCCATCCTTCTCCTGTGAAGCAACTGTTGGATTCGTACTGTGAGCCTTTGAGATTGCAGTGCAACTTCTTACCACTAGGCCACAAGAGCTCCTGATGGCTTATTGGTAAGGAATTGTATTGCCAAGGCAAAGGAATATGGTTCAAATCCACCAGCTGCTCCATGGGAGAAAAATGGGTTGATTCTAACTGGACAATAAATAACAGTAACAAAAGGTGCTCTGCATCAGAGATGCAACAGTTGCCTCTGCAGAGATTTACAGCATTGGGAACTCTGTGGAGCAGTTCTAGACTGTTCCATCGGGTCATTGGGTGAGTCAGAATCAACGCAATGGCAGTGGGATTAATTTGGTTTCTGTCTGGCAGGTGAAGGACAAATTTGATCCCATGCAAAATCATCCAGGAGAGCTGATTCTGAGAACCTGACTCCATAGCTTGTTTCAAGTTAGAATTCATCTCCAGCTAAAGGTAGAACACAAGCTACACTGACACAGAATGCTATGATTTGAGAAGACGCAGTGGCAGGATATTGAGGACATTGGATTGGGTACTTGAGAAACATCAGTTATCTCTCTGCGTTTTCAAGCTCAACTGAGCAGTGGTTTTGTGTGTTAAAGTGTAAGCCGCACATGCAGAACGATCTATGTTAAATGAAATGTCTAGAGGATGGAAGTCTTGGAGAGTGTTCTCCGAGTTAGCAGCTGAAAGCACAGGATGCTCATAAAGTCGATCTCAGGACCCTCCAGTCGATCCTCACCCAACTTGACCCTCTATCAGGTTTCCATGGCTGTAAATCATAACAGGAAGATACTGCTTGTTTTTGTCCATAGAGCAGCTGGTAGATTCAAACCACCAGAGATTTGTGGTGTTTTAATTAGCAGCACAGCACGCTACCAACTACGCCACTGCTGTGATTGTTTGCCTTGGTGTTGGAACCAACTCATAGCTGATTCACTGGTGGGTTTGCAGAGGCAGTTAATCACACAGAGGAGGTTGCCCATTGTTCTCTTGGGGAGCAGCTGGTGGATTTGAACCTTTGGGACTGCAGTACAATTTCTTACCACTAGGCCACCAGAGCTCCCTGATTATGCCATTGCTGTCATTGCTATTTCTGTTATGTGCCGTCGAGTTGACTACGGCTCATAGTGACCCTATGCATAACAGTTCTGAACTTTGTCCTACCCTAAGCCAACCTCACTGTCTCTGACACACCTACGACCATCATTACCCCATTTACTGTGTCAGTCCATCTCAACAGGGCTCTTCCTTGCCTGTGCTGTCCCTCCACCCTTCTGAGCATAATGTCTTTCTCCAAAAACTAGTCTCCCCTAGATATATGCCCAAAGTATATGAGACAGAGTCTCAAAATTCGTACCTTCAAGGAGCAGATTGGTTTTACCCGCTCCAGGGTAGTCCTGTTAGTTCTCTTGACAGTCCATGTTTCCTCTTCTCCAGCTCCAGAACTCAAAGGCATAAATTCTTCTTCTGTCATCCTTGGTCATTATCAAGCTCTCTGATGCATAGCAAGCAATTGTGAAGACCATGGCACAGATCAAGCAGACCTTAGTCTCTAGACTGACATTCTTGCTCTTCAACACTCTGGAGAAATCCTTGACAGTGGATTTTGCTAATGCAATATTTCTTTTGACTTCCTGACTGCCGGTGCTGAGAGTGTTGATCATAGAACCTAGAAAGCTGAAAATGTTAACAATCTCAAGCTCTTCTCTATCATGTTGCTGCCAATTGGCCCAGGGCTGAGAATCTTCATTTTCTTGATCTTGAGCTTCAATGCTTATTGCAAACCACAGTCCTTGACCTTCTGCAACAGATGTTTCAAGCCCTCTACACTAGAGCTCCTTACAAATACAGCATACTCAGTGAAATGAAAATATTTCTAATTGCCTAGTTTCTTCTAACAGCCCTCCTATATTATTAATTGGGTTCTTTTTTGTCAATACTAATTTATTATCTTTAAAACTTTCATGTGGACTCTTTGAACTCTCTTTTCAGGATAAAACTAGAATGTTCTGATTTAAAAGAAACTCCAGCCCAGTTTCATGTTAACAGAAAAAAATCAAAACAAACTTTTCTTCTCCTAAGGATCAAACGAGAGAGAGAGAGAGAGAATATGACAATAATTGAGAGGAAAGCATTACATCGTAAATTTATTTTTTATTTTAAAAATTTTAATAAGAAATATAACTGTGATTGAACTTGACCTGATGTATGCATTGTCTCACAGTGTAAAGTCATGAAGATAAAAGAAACTAATGGCATCTAGTGGCTGTGAACAAGTTTAGACAGGTTGTTGACTTTTCCCTCCATCTTTTCTGCATTATCTCTACTGGAATAACCAATCATCACAAGCTATGGGCCTGAATGAGGTACATTGATAACCGTGAAGGGACAAGGTGAAAGACAAACTGAGTCTT